TTATAAATCATATTTGCTATGAATTTATACAAAATATTGCACCAGTACACATTTACGGAATACTGACATTCGTTAATAAATTATTCTTACCGTTATCATCACTGCTGCCGTGTATGTTTGTTCACCCGCTGGAAGATCCATGTCTTCAATGATAAGAGTAACACCATACCAGAAGGAGAGAGCATAATTACTATAAATAGCCAACGAAAGTAGACCAAATCCAAGTCCATTGCAAAAACATTTTTTAATGTTATTTCTAAAAGTCGACTGAAGGTTGCTTTTGTATCTGTCAACTTCTAATTGCTGACCATCGAAAGCAAAAACCGTGCGTATAGACGATATGACTTCTTCCGCGATATTTCCAGCCTGAGCATAAATTTCTGTTTCTTTTCGAGTAAGTCTCGATAAGATCTAGAAAAAGAAATTCGAAATCTGATGCGTTAATAAATATTGGTCAAGTAGAAGTTGATCATTGCTTTTAGATATTTTCAAACATATCTTATATCGTACTTCAGTTACTCCAATGAGAATCAATGTTGTAACGGGTAGTGATATTATACAGACAAGGGCGAGTTTCCAACCTTTAAAAAATGCCAACACAGTGCATGCGATAAATGCTGTCATGTTGTGAACAAACATTGACAATTTGTCGCCAACTCCTTCCTCGAATTGCATTACGTCTCTAAAAATCAAATTGACGAATGAATCTTGTGTAGTTTTTCATGGAAGGTGAAAGACCAGAAGGAAACCTTAAATTGCCTTACTCTGTCAATCTACTTGCTACTTCACCACTTCGCATCGAATCGTACCAAGTTATGTCCTGATGCAACGCTGAATTCAGGTACAACGATCGTACGTGATAGGCTTGTTTTTGAGCAGTGTACTTTAATGTCATTATACTGATGTAACTGAAGACCAACATGGCAACACTGATAAGTGAATTCAGAATGGCGAATGTCTCTACGGAATCCAAAATATTCATTGTCGCTGACTCTGTACCATTTATCGCTGATTCAGTATCAGCTTCTTTCGCACTGGAGATCATATCTCCAACCAGTGTTCCATATGAATATATATTTGCCGGTGTGCATAATCCAGAACCAACCGCACAGAGAAGACTGATGCACATAACTATTTTATCTAGGCAGGTAGAATATTTGAACTGGAAAAAAATATTAACAGAATCATAATAATAATTGTTATATGTATACATAAATCAATAGGCTGTGAAAAACTCAGAGATATAACATTTAATTCGTAATAATTTTATTTTGAAGATCAATTAAAATTTAGTTAATTGATTCAATCGATTATATATTATATTTTATTATAAGTATATATTTTAATATAAGTTTTTTTATAGATAAGCATCACGTTATATAGTAAAAGTCAACAAAATTTGTACTTGTAATATTCCTCAACATACTTCATTTAATCTGTTAAAAGTAAATAGCTTCGTGAACGATTAGCGTAAAAGAACGTTATGCATTACATTATGTTTGAAACCTATGTGGAAGTTAATACGGTTATTCCAATGTCATTGATGATAATCCTTGAGCAGAGATGATATAACATTTTCATGACACTTGTATTCGCACTTCGAGTTTCAGTGTCTCTAAAGCCAGTCGAAGCAAACTCATTTTAGGTTAATGCCGCGGAGATCTCTCAGCGGATACGTAAATTGCGAATGCTTTAAATCAGCGGGCAAAAACAAGCATATCTTGGCTTTGTTTTCCGTTATAAAATTCTGCATATGACTTTGCAGAGAACTGAATTTGTGAACAACAATGTAAATTGAATCAAGCATATAAAATTCAACCGTTTGAAAACTACATGCATTTTCACCTAAAATCATGAATTTAACGGTCTATGTTCCATAAAAGCATCAGAATTTAAAATGGAAACAAAGTCTAGTTGAGTATTAGAATTTAAATACAAGTATATGGAAAGCAGCGTGGCAAACTATCTGGCTGTTTATAGCACTTGTCTGAAGAATACGTCACTTTATCATTAGTTCATGATACAATAGCAGTTAAAGTCAAACTAAGAATGCTACAAGCTAAAAACAGTCAAGAAAGCACGACTGCTAATCCGAAACGGGTCGTTGTGAACAATTTAATTCTCTATAAAATTGTTATTTAAGTTTCTTTTGTAAAGTCAGTAATTCAATGATAACAGACGTTTAAGAGTGAATTTTCATACAAAAATTATTTTAGTTCGCATCAAATGACACACTTTATTGTATGTATTTCATTAGGTTAAATCTCGCTTATCAAATATAGTGAAACTTACCAATTCAAAATAAGAGAGAGGTGGCACGCCTGGTTCATTCTTGGTAGTTCCACTGAAACAAAGTATTCTTTTAACACATATTCAAACTGCCGTTACATTGTTTTAAATTTAAAACCGCAGTATTGTACAACACTTACAGTTTTCCATTTTCACTGACGTCATCATCATATTCCTGACGTTTAAAATTTGTAATTTGCACTGGTTCCGCATAAAGTTGCGATGGAGCATCTAGGATATTAGATATATTCAACTTAAATTTGAGTGAATTCTTCATTCTTACAGCAATTTTTATGCCGTTCGTGTCCGATCCTCACTTATTTACTAGCAAAAGCTATCGACTGAACAAGATATTTAAATTTCGTTCTGATAACGAAACTTAAGGCCATTGTATAATGCCACGGTTCACGGAACACGTAAGCGGCGCGATATTCAATTTTTTTTAATTTTTATATATTGACAGATAATAACAGGTGACAGGTAATGATATTTCACCCATGGAAATATTGGCGGGGTAATTGTTTTTTTCACGTAACCCGTTACGGATTACGGAACGGGGCATGCTCGATGTTACTCATCACGTTACGTGCTCCGTGAAATCCTTAACGAACCTAGCAACCGTTTCCGTATCGTTGCTATGTCCGAGACGTAGCCAAAATCGTAGAGACTTAGTAAACGCTCGGTTTTTAAAACGATTTTCTCCTTCTTGATTGCAAGATCCAATGGAATTATGTAAATATACAATTGAATATCACGCCGCTTATATGTTCCGTGTTAGGTATTCCGTTGCATTGTAGAGTGGCCTTTAGCCCTTGCAAAAGAATGATAAAAATGGTTGGTAATGACCAAGATAGAATAACTCTACTGCCACAGTAAAGTCTCTTATGCTTTGCAGTAAAACTTCTTTACCGACACCTAGTATAATTTTATTGAATGTCAAAAAATTTTTACTTAATCGTGAATTTTTCGTCGCTCATTTCATTTTTACTTTTCTTATTGATTAATTTATTAATTAATCGATTTTGACGTTTTTCGATTCCTTATTGTGAGGTTTATGGGTATTTCAACCTCGAGGTAATAATTTTCTTCAGAACGTTTTCATATTTATTAGTTTCAAATAAAATCAATGTTTAACAATTTATTTGCACCATTTGATACTTGCAGCATGGGGAAAAAGTGAAAGAAATTGAGATTAAAGGGGAGTGAATGAAATAATAAACAAATTTTTTATTTGAAACTATAACACAGAAGCACAATACCCCCCTTAGGGGGGCAATCTCGTGTAAAATGGTGAAAAAAGGCAACTTTCATGATTTTTATTTTCAAAGAAATTTTATATTAGAAATATTCTTAGTATAAAAGACTTAAACAACAATGTTTTGAGTGCTTATAAATATTTTTGTTTATATTTTTAAAAAGAAAATGGTGGAGATATTAGCGTCGTTGTGAAACGTGTCGAAGCGGAGATGTTCAATTTATGGGCAATCTAGCGAACCTGCGATGCATCCTGAGACATTTGGAAGAAAATAGCTCGCTGATAAATGTGACTCGTAGTTAAACCTATGAAATGTGAAAAATATTGAAAATTTATAATACATTTGAAGTTAAAAAAAAATTGATTTTTCCGTTAAAATTTCGAACTTTGTACATTTTTTGTTCAAATAGAAAGTATTACTGTTTTACAGATGTACAAAAAATTGGAGCACAGTCGAACAAGTATTTTTTTAGATATCTTGCCCATAAATTCGAAAAATGCTATTTCGAGAAAAACGCGTTTAAAGTTTCGGCTTTTACGTGGCTTAGCCGCTCGAGCTGTACTAGCAATCTTTCCTTCCGGATACGATTGCATTTTAAAAGCGTGCTGCACTACAATACACTAAAAAGTTACTGAACTCCGAGTCAAATTTTAAAAAATGACAATAGTAGGGATAAATAGTTCGGTGCTCCGATTCTAGCGCTCATAACTAAGGGAGGAGAGGTAGGTTCACGCTTTGGACTATATTTCAAGAACCACATTAAATATCGATCTAAAATTTTTCTAGGAACATTCTATATTCTCTTTAGAACACTTTAAAGCACTAAGAAATTTTCAGAATTTTACACGAAGTTCCCCCCC